TTTACAGCAGTTTGTCAAAAAAAAAAGAAATGTTATAGTGTGTAATAATAATAATAGGAAGCCTGTTTCTGTGTGCTTAAAGTGGAATGTGTTTTTATTGCAGGAGCATGTCAAGGATATATTGGCAGATACTGTTGAGAAAACAATCCAAACAGCCTGCTGAAGCTGCCCACTTTAAAGCCTGCTCACGAGAACTTGGCTAGCATCTGGCATTCCCGTGAAGCCCTTTTTTATTCTGTTTCTTTTTAAATCTCAGTCTGCATTCGCGTGTATGTGTCCGTGTAATTGTTTGTGTCTGTGTTTCCACAAAAAAGCCAAAAGGCCAAGGAACAGATTGCGCAGGGCGACCCGTATCAGCCCTCGCTCGCCTGCTGGAGCCAGACACCGAATAGCTGAAGTAGCTTTTGCGTCCGTCTTCCTCAATAGCCCATCAAGGTGCAGAGACTCGACGTCCTGCTCTACTCTATCTGCAGACTCAACTCTCACCTCCTGTTCAGCGAGGCAAATGTAAACCTAGGAGGATGAAAACAACAGACAGTGTAGGTTATTTTGCTTTAGCCATTTTTTTTTTCAGAGAAATTCAGTTCCCTAGACGACAATGAAAGTGATCCGAGCGCATGTTTCTCTAATGGGGCAATTGAACATTTATAAAACACTCTCACATTTATTATTAGTCTGATTACAGATTATTCATGTCTAGATTATTTCCAATGATCTAAGGAACCAGTCACTTTCCAGATAATCTGATAGAATTTGCATTTGTTTAAATATACTTGCTCTCTGAAACTAACATGAAGGGAAGTCCATAAGATGGGAAGAGCTGTATTAGTGAGAGAGGCTTATACTTGTAGTTAGAAAGGCAGCTCCTGGGATCAGATGCCATTCTTACTGTGTTTCCTGACATTGTTGAATTCTCTGCTGATGCGTTTCCTCAGTCTGCTGGTGAAGCCACACACAGTGCTGGTGCTAATCACACAAAGAAAGACAGTCTTTTAGTTTGGTGAATGAGCATACAGTACGTGGATACTCGTGGGCAAAGAGCTATGCTGAAGCATTTGGAGTATAAAGGAGTTTGAAGGGTCTTTAAATATCCGCCGAGCTCTAGCAGGTATTATAAAAGGTCAGCCGTTGTGCCGCCCACCTCTCATGCCCAGCACCAACCTTTGGAAGGACTTTAAAGGATTCACCTGCAATGAGTGCCAGGCTAGACAAAAACAGCCTGATCCAGTGTCATACTTCCTGCCAGCTGTACTGCTGAAAGCCCTGCATGTTTATAAGGAAAGGACCCCGAACAAGGCAAACAAGGCACTCAGATGCACAAACACGCTCTTAAGAAGGCCAGCATTACCTCACTTCACAAAACGCTTTCAGACAGCAGGCCTTAAAACAGCAGCTACAGGCTAGGTGAGGTCACCAAAACTGTGCAATGTTTCTTTAACTGGATGTGTTTAGAAATAATGTTTCCTGCAGTATTTTAGTAGCAATACTGGGGTTCATCTAAATGTGGAAAAGGCAAAGCTTACATGTGCCAACCCCCTTTGTTTCTCTTGAAATCTATGCAAACAATACCGACACACGAATCGCTCAGCATCCATAACAATGCACACGGTTCATGCACCACGTCTTTAATTTGGGCATTTGTGCTACTCAACAATATGCAACAGAAACACTTTGAGCAGTTCCTAAATTTAAACTGTCGACAGGAAGTGGTCCTGTATCTGTTTCCCGTTCCAGTGTTGTTTCTCCCCGGGGACTTGTTGCTGAAGATTGTTCACCCTGACAATGGAGTCGCTGTGGGCATTGTTACATTGTTTTAAATGGACTCCCCTGTGTTTGCTGACCTTATGCCACTGCTGCCCCATAAAAGGGTGATGAGGAAAGTGGGCAAAGCGCCTGCTGTGTGTGTGGCTGGAGTCAATTAAGAGAGCCAATACCTCACAAACATTTTACAGAGAGCTGTGTATATGTGTACGCCGTGCTGTGCTACACATCAGTGTTTAAATCTGCACTGATCAATGTTTCATTTCCTCAAAAGACCAAGTGAACTTATGTGACATGGGTTGTTTGTAGTGATGAACATATATATATATATATATATTGTTAAAACAATCTCCTTAGTATCAATCAAACCTGGGGCTATGTTTGTGGGTAGATGGCGGGTGTACAGTGTGGTGAACACCAAAACAGACAAGGGGCTGTCAAATAGTCATATTGATTAGTAACACTCCGGATGCTTCCTTTATTACCACTTTAAGCATACATACTTCCTTTATGAAAGGAAAGGGGGAAACTCCACCACATGATTTAGAGCGGTGCACCATCCATGATTAACCCTGAATCCATGATTTGATTGCTTTCATGAAAAGAATCAAAAAACCTGACAAAGTGACTCCGATGGTGTAAATGTTAATTATAAGTGTGTTTTCCATTCCCATTTCAATAATCAACAACGGTTTGTTTTGAAATTTACAACAGCATTACTTCTTATGAGCTATATTAACCGGTGTTAATGAGTTTAAAGTTCACTTGAATTAAGTTTGCTTTAGTAATGTCCATTACTGAATAACCAACCTTTAAGATCATTTTGAATTAATTTTGTGAATTAATTTTTACCTGGCGCCAGTCTCAGATAAGTGATGGATGCAGGGAATTGTCCTTTGAATATAGAAATATGAGTCACCTCCTCAACCCGGGGAGCTACACTGCCCTCAGCTGCAACATTATTAAGGAGTTCAGTGTAAGTGCGCTTGCTGTGTATCACGCTTCTCTTTCCTTAAACATTCTCCTTCACACTTTTCCTTGACCTCACGTTTTCCACTGAGGTTTTGTTTTCGTTTTTCTTTACCATACCCACAGTTTTAAAAAGTGAGCAGTTACTTATTTTCATTATTCTGAATGCAAACATTCAAAATGTGATTATCATGTCTGGGACAATAAACACTACTGATCATGACAGAAAAACTCCTTCTCTAATTGTGTCATATTAAAATCTGCACATTGTTCTGTTTAGCAAAGAGATTTCGCTCGCTGGGGGCAGAGCCTCCTTTAGGTTTGACAGCATTTCTAGTAGTTAATGGAAGAGAAACAGAAGGTAGTGCATGAAGTGTGGTTCTGCTCCTGAAATTCAGATAAATAATCTCCAATGCAAATACATACAAGGTGGACACTGCGCAGCAAAAGCCTTGGCACTGACTACTGTCTGTCAGATGCGTGAGCAAAAATAATTGGAGCACATTAATGTTTGTTTGTGTTCCCTAATGTGATTTTCATAACAGGTTTTTAAGGTGATAATAAATCAGTGTGATAAGTTTGTCCTGCTGTGCTCAAAATGTCAAAAAAATACCATGAAGGGAAATGCGATTAATTTCCCTGAACACATTGCACTAAAATGAAAGCAGTGTGTTTAGGGGAGCCAAGATGCTCCACTGATTTCACAAATACGAGACCCTTGGTATGTTTGTGGTCAGCCTTTTGCGAGTGTATACACTGCATTAGGTACACAGCTACCTGTGCTGCTGGATTTGTATTCTCTGCACAAATGTGTGTGTGTGTCTAGGTGGTGGTTGTTTAATAGGGGGATGCAGTGCCCTTCCAGCAGACAGACAGCTCTATTGTTCCTGCAGCAGAGGGAGCATGTCTCCAGCCTGTCCACTCAGGATGTTGGTTTGGACCTCCTTAAAAAAAATAAAAGCCCAGCCAGCATCACCCACACCCATTATCCCCATCTTCCAGCAAGAACAATGGAACACCTCCCCACAACCTCCTCCTTTCCCAGGAGCCTCAAGCACTTGGTTCCCACAGTACTATCGAGTTCTGAGGAGCCGGGCCATTGTTAGCAGGCCGACCTGTCCTCTGATTGTTCCCATGAGGATACACACACACACAATTCTCTGTTAACTCTGGTGCATTTAGTTGCAAGCCTCACCTCCACCTCTCTATCTTCATTAGCTTCAAATGGAAACTTCCACCAGCTTGAAGTAATTGCGACTCTAAACACGCACAACCGGTGTCACTGGAGTGGAGCGGGTCATTCCACTGATGGCAAACTTAAGAGGGGAGTACAGGGCTCAAAGATGGCTGCTGATACAGCAGTATTTACCACTCTGGTGCCAATGTAAATCTGGACTCCATAATCTTTCCCATTTAACTAGCTGGCAGGGCAACATAGCGGAACTTATCTTGGCGCACTGAAAAGGTTATCGTCCATTAGGAAAGCTCCTCTGTTTCATGGCTGAGGGACCCGAGTAAACAAGTCAACAAAGGGGAGGTCAAGCCCCTGGTCACATGTTTACAGTCATAATACATGTGAAATAAAAATGCTCTTTAAAGGCCATTTTTGCCTTATGTTTTTTTAGTGATGCATATCTCATGAGGAGTGTTTACACATAAATATCAGTAGCCATTACACAGATACATGTCAGAGATAACAGCATGCCACTAACCTGCCATCATGATCTAAACCCGCAAGTAAAACCTATGTGTACACCTCCTCAGTTACTGCTGCATTATCAGCTGGCACACTATTAATGGCAACTTTATCACAGACGACTGTTATAAGGCTTTAAGGACCCTATTAATCCCATCTGGTGGAGCACAAATATAGGTCCGGCTGTTTATGTGGTTTTTGAAAAATGATGTGCTCTTATTTTGAAATAAAGAGCTTGACTGGAGTGAAACAATGATTAGCTCACATAGGACTGGCTGAAAACATTTAAATGAGCTGGGTGTGTTGGGTAGCATCTCAACAGGGAACCAGGGAACAATTTGCGGGTTCTTTTGGATTATTGTGATTTTTGGTGTGCTGCACACAAATTTCACACTTAGAGAAAATAAAAAGACTCAAAAATAAACATTTGTGAGCAAAAAGAAAAATTAAGCTAGAAAATACATAAAACTTCAGATGGCAAAGAAAATACTGGCGTTCAATTAAATGTGACAAAGTGGTGATTTTTCCAGGGTGTACCCAACCTCTCGGCGTGTGACAGTCAGGATAGGCTCCATGTCCTTCACAACCTTTATTCAGGTAAGTGGAAGAAAATTGATGAATGGGAAGTTGACATTTTTACATGCAATTATCTCTAGAAATTTGCTAAAAGCTGTTTATATATTTACAGTATTAGAAACATTATACTTGTTAAAGTTTACGTTTTTAAACCAGAGAATAAAAAGTCTTGTTTCAAGTGGATCGCTCTTTCCTTTAATCGATTTAAGATGGCCAAATAGCACAAGGGCTAAATTCCAAAGGTGAATCAGTTAATGGTTTCCCAGCATAATAATTTCCCCCTTGAAGCTGAACGAGTGGAGTCATTACTTCCTTCCTTTGACTTTTAAGTTACTTTCCGCCACTGGCAGAAGCATTGTTTCACAAAAAGAGGTTCGACACAGTTGCTCAGAACTGAACGTGAAACAGCGCTGACACAGACAGAGTTCAAGTGTTTTCTTTCTTCTTCTTTTTTAAAGTAAGAATTAACTAACTTCATGAAAGCTCCTTTTTGATAATTCCCAAATAGAAGCTGTAAAAATTTACTGAAACATCACTCAAGGAAACACCTGGAGCACACAAACTTCTTTATCACATTTTTTCAGCAGGACTATTATTATTACTGTTTTGTTTTGTTTTTTTAAAGTGTGCAAATCCAGACTTTCTAAAATGAAAGTATTGAGCACATGGTTCCAGACAATACAACTAAGCAGCTTAAACATCCTGGGAGACCGCCCACAATGCTGGCTTATGTTCTGTCACATATCATCAAAGGTTCCAGCAAAGTCCTGTCGTTCTTCTCTTCTTTTATGACAGCCGGACTTCCTGTCTCTATAAACAGAAATGATCAAAAGGAGTAAAAACCCCCAAAAACCCAGACAGGTCTGTAACATGAAAACTGGTCGTGGAATGACAAATGACATTTGAGTGACTTAATAACAAAGTCGCAATTATATACATTTACCATACTGGCACAACCAGATGTATGTAATCCATCCAAGTCTGTTTTCAAATCACATAAAACTTTGTCAGATTAAAGACTGAACACTCAAAGGTTCTACAATAAGGTGTTCTAATGACAGTGGATGGCTTAAGTTATTGATAAAAAGCATGCACATGCACCATCAAGTAGATGATTGGAGAATTTGGTACAGCCTTTGATTATGTAGAAGAAATAATTATATTCAAGCTACTAAAAGTTTCCCAGTGTTCACCCAGGCAAGTTTTTGCTGTGGATTTCCATGAGAGTGGAGCTGAGCTGAATAAGGAAGAATGTATGATTCAATGATCACCCTCTCTTCTGCTCTCAGTGCACAGTCCTCCAGCTGAAAAAAAAAGGTCAAACGCAAGTCTATCACAGAAACAGGGGATTAGCTCTTTTCAGGTCGGTTCCTGTTCAGAGCCGCTTTAGGTGTGAACTCCAGTTTCTCTTTGAGGCTCAGCACCTTTGTGCTGTCCATGCCCACTTGCTCCTGCAGCTTTCTTTCTTCCCTCAGTTCCTGGATGCCTTTCTCTTCCTCTCTGGATTTGGGGGTGCCCCTGATGAACCATTCCAGGTGATAGCCCACTGCTCCGACCACAAAAGCCACAGGGAAGGTGACATACGGAGCATAGGTCCGCAACGCTGTCCACACTACAGGCCACATGACTGCATGCAGCTCTGGGATCCCAGGTGCTTCAAGAGAGGAGGAGAAAAAAGGTATGTTATTGGTTGTCTGTCGCTTAATTTGCTCACGTCCAACTCTGCATTTTCCTGCTGTGTACTAGAACAAGTTTGCATAATTCTGAGCTCAAAGTAACTTTTATTCACTATATGTGTTATTAGTGTAGCTCTTCACTTCATTCAGTGTCAGAAACAAACAAATACCTAGATTGATTTGAGCAGCAGTGGATGGAGCGTCTGTGCTCATAGCACAGAAACATAATAGGTCACTTTTAGTAACTTGCCGTGAACATTTATAGCTTATTAGGTCTGATTTTACTACTTCAAAATTGCTGCCCTTTTTGTTTAAGCTACTGACCCCTTGTGGCTTTAATTCAATTCTGATTAGTGGAGAAATCTTGTAACTTATAGGATTCATCTAACTCAGGGGTGCCCAATCCCGGTCCTCGAGAGCTACCGTCCTGCAGCTTTTAGATGCATCCTTGTTCCCACACACCCGAATCAAATGAATGGCTTGTTATCAGGCCTTTGCCAAACATGATGGCATGCTGGAGAGGTAATCAAACCATTTGATTCAGCTGTGTTGGAGTAGGGATGCATCTAAAAGCTGCAGGATAGTAGCTCTCGAGGACTGGGATTGGGCAGCCCTGATCTAACTAATTACCAACAAACCCAGATCAGCATAAAAACCCTGTTTTTTTGCTTAGATAAATCAATGACTCACTCGCAGACTGCTATGTGCTATTTAAAAACACAGCATAGAGCTTACTGAAGAGAAATTATTTTGGATAAAATTAACATGACTTAATGTGTCTACCCATTTCTGAAATACTTTCTTAATGTGCGAAATAACTGAGGCCAAAGTGCACATGAGGACGTCGTCAAACACCAGACAGTATAATGAGTACGTCTGTGTCCTTCCAATGCCCTCTTTCTCTTAAGCCCGACCAGCAACACAAGTAGCAGTAACAGCCTTCGACTTCTAGCATCAATTCATGCTAGCTACTGATCTTTCGTGCCTGATTAACCTTTAATACAAGTTGAAATATCCCGGTAATTTTTACTCGTTTGGGTGTTTCATGAGAGCCGAACTCAAGAGGTATTCTCAACAATTCACCAGTTTAAATTCAAACATATTGCGTTTCCCAGCTTTGCATGACTCTTTAAAGTTATATGATAAAATTCGCTACGGAGTACGCCAGTATAAATTATAAGTCCAGTCATTACACGCTATATGATATGAATGACTGAACTTGATTCGACCAAATCTAGCACAACGTAGAAGTCTAAAACGATAACAATGAAAAGAATTAACGCTAACGTAGTGTTACCAAACCTACCGTGCGAAAGTCATGTAAGAAAACTGAGAGCTGCTACCGGCTAGTGTGCTTTCTGTTTACTTCAAAAAGACAGCTCGAGGAATGATAATTCAGAGCACAACATACATTCACCGAGCTTTTGTGCCTGCCTACAAACACTCAAATATTTAGGGGGGAAAAGCCCCAAATGTCGTAAGTACTCACCTTTACCGCTAGCACGTTGGTACTGTAGTGACGCAATTTCCGTGTCAAAGTCTGTATCCTTCCTGGTTTATCGTCATTGGCTGGCGAACTTCGCGTAGACGTAACAATATCTCACGGTGTTTTAGCGCCTCTTAGCGGTAAAAATAATACGCTACACTAATTTGACATTTGTACCGAGTAGAGAAAGTGCATTGTGAATGATCAGTACCATTTACTGCTGACATCCCATAAATTACATAATAATATAAGAAATAAATAAAAATAGAAAAAAACAAGCAAATAATGAAAAACCACCATTAATTCATAATCTAATCAACATACCTAGCCTAAAATACACGAGACATTTGTCCAGTTCTTAGCACTAGTTAAAAAAACAAAAAACAAAAAGCAGCCACCTCTTTCTGTGTTTAAAAATTCGGTGGTATTTTCCCCACAAATACTCTCAAGAAATCCTCACAAAAGGCTGACAGATCTGTCACCAGCATTGTGCTACACACTGACAAGGCGTGAGCTACCCCCTCTTGTATGACAAAACCATCAAGTGACAAGATAGTTTTCTTTTAGTTTAAAAGCACTTTCAAAAGCTTAGTGCGTTGCATAAAATCGCAATTTAAAGTTTAGGGTTTTTTTGGCTGCCTGTGAGGAATGCAGAGAAAATAATACATTTTAGTCACAGAGTAGGAAACCATACAGTTCAGACTTGGCTACACGAGGCAAAAATATTCCTCTATGCTACTGTTGTTTCTGGGTAGTAAAAGGGTATATGATTGATGATACTGATATTTCAGCTCCTGGGCCAGCTTTACCAATGCTGGGCACAAAGCTGATCCATAGCAGTTGGAATGCAGCCTGTCATAAAGGAATGACCATCTCTGACTCCATGGCTGTTTGTGCAGAGGCAAAGAGAGGGGATTATAAAGCTAAATCAAAATTTGTTATCATTACTTGCAATGCTGCTTAGAACTGTGTGGGTGATTACGCTTCATGCTTCAAAATTATTCTCTTAAGCAGTTCCTCCCTCTGTGCTGTCCATCTTGTAGTTGCCAGAATTGGAATTTGATCAGTCCTGTCAAATAAAGTGAAATGTGCTCATCGCCTGAAGGAAAACAACATCACTAGTGCCAGTTCTGCTTTAATAGCAAACTTGGCAGTGACAGGATTATTTCATCAGTTCCTGTTTATTAGCAAATGAGATTTAGAGTTGCACTAGCCAAAATTTCAATGTAAAAATACAACCACCTTATCAATCCAAATCACAAAGGGAGACTGACAGAGTGGCTGACTGAAGCCCTGTAGACCTGCTCTCCCCAAGTTAATTACAGATGTCAGGCATGGTCAGCGGTGGGAAATTTTTCTCATTACCTGAAAATTGACAGACAAGACTTTGGTTAAATCACTGCTGAATCAGGGAAGCCTGAAAAAGCGTGTGGCACAGCTCCTCAAGCACGGTGCATTTTTGGCCACGGCTCCAAATCTGCCGAACTCAGTGTTTTGAAAACAGTCCAGATGCTAAACATATGTCAACAAATGCAGGGGGTGGTGGCAGGGATGTGACACATATGACACAAAGTGCCCTAAGGGATCAGTGACAGCTACATTTAGCTCTGGATTAACATGCAGGGAGACTGCTAAGCAGGAGATGGGTGTAGAATATGACCAAAAAAGATGCACAAGAGAATTTGATAGATTGCCTCTGATTTGGGATGAAGCTGGGGGACTCGTGGCACAGGCTGTCAGAGGAACAGATGGTGAGTAAAACGAAGTGCCAAATGTGGAAAGGAAAGACAGAGACTTCTCTGAGTCGGGTTTGAATTTCAGCTAATCAGAAGTGCTTTTAAAGAAAATCCAACCTCGAAACATTCAGGGCTCACTAACAGAAATATTACAAACTCAACCTGTACTTGATTGACTGCATTTCACTGTAATATTAATGAATTCACTCTGTGCTTAATTATTCTATTAATATGCATGCAATATGCATTCAAAACTGGTGGCGAACTCATTCATACATATGAAAATTTATTTGCTTTTGGCATTACAAACCATCATGACATGTTTAATGAGCTAAGAATATATACCTCAGTGGAGTGTATTATTCATATATCAAAGATAAATGTACTGAAGTAAAAAAACAAGAAGAAACCAAAGGATACAGTGAGGCACAATTTTATCCATCTTATCTTACTGCGAGCTGTTAAAAATAGTGACAGATTTGAACTATTTTACTTTCAGTAGAAGTTCTTATACAGATTTCCTAACAGACTTTATATTGAAGTAATATGCAATATCATGTACATTTACTGAAAGTAAGTACCTTCTGGAAATACCCTTGATGTGCATAAATTTAAAAGGCATTTGAACAGTTTTATGGCACAAGAACACATTAATGCTGCTTGTGTGCAAATTCACAGGGAAAAGTACAAGTAAATACTTTTCACATGTCACCAAGGCAACCAAGGTAAACTGTTTTGGCATCCTGCTGACTTCCCAGTAAAATTTAAAGGGGCGATATTATCCTCATTGCAGTACTACTTTTTAATTCTTGGATTCTGTTTTAAAGTGTGATTCATGCACAGTCACTCCAAAGTAACCCAATCTTTATTTATTTTATAATGAAACTTGCTTCATACATTGGCTGAAACAAGCTGCTTCACCTCCCTTCACTCCTACCTTCCTTCTGATTGGCAAAGTGTGTGACCATTCTGTGTGCATGAGATGACCATATTAGTTAGGGGTGTTCACTTTGATTGACATCACACAGGTAAATGTTAAAGAAATGATTGAAATGAAGTTATTAGAGCATTTTGAAGCCAGAGGCTTTGGCTCAGAGTCTCCTTGCATATATGTTACCCTATTTTTTTTATTTTTATTTTTTAAGCTTTGGCCATTTTTAATATGAACATCCAATATTTCAACATTTTAACAGTATAAATATGATGAAGCGCCATCCTATAAGCTAACCTGTGAAACCTTTAGCTCCATTTAAAAGAGCCAGTGGACTTTATTCAGGTATATGTTGCTGAGCTTTGTCTATTTACAGCAATAAGCCACGCAACAACATGGACTGGCATGATGTATACATAGCAGCATGTGGGGGCACTTATGGCGAAAAAGGGAGCGACTGTGACCTGAACATGGAGTGAGGCTGTGCAGAGGGGCAGTCGGTGGAACGGGGCTCACATGAGCCTGGTGACAGCACTGGACAGAAAGTCCTCATAGCTGAGGCGGATGTTGCCCGTCATGCTCGTGTCTCTCTCCCGAAACACTTGAGTCATGCTCTGAAGTTGCGTGCACACGTGGATGAAGCGGTCCAGCTGTATGCCGGGTCGGGCACCTCGCACGGTGAAGCGCTGGACCAGCGTCTCTGAAAACTGGGGGCTGAGGTTGTAACCCATCTGAGCGAGGGCTGAGAAGAGAAAGTGACATATGTGCATATTTGCATTTATATGATTGGATGAAATGATTTAAGTCATAGACTTTTCTCAACATGTTGTCAAATGTGCAAACACTGATACCTTGTTGTAGTTCCATGCCACTGATACATCCTGAGCGATCTCTGTCATACTGCTGAAACATCGCTCTCCACCGCTGCATAAAGTCCCACAGTGCTGAGAAGCCAAACAGGTCCATTCGACCAGACCGCGTCTTGTCAAACATGTCTAACAGAAAACACAAACACACGGGCTCAGCCAAGCAAGACAAAGAGGCTTTTTTTTTTTTTTTTTGTAAAGCAGAACCACTAAGCTCATCCTTCATCATCATGGATCTTCTCCTTGTGCTACTTCAAAGCAGTCACACACTTCTCATTATGGTAATAGAAAACATTAGTCACCGCCTGTAAGCACAACTGGAATGTAGGGATAGTTGTGCAACAACAATGGGAACAGCGACAAACATGACTCAGTCATTATTTAGGCTGACTCCTGGCGGCATAAATTTCTCCCTGTTTTAGAAACTCAAGACATTTCTGTTTACAAGCTTGATAGATTTAGGGAGGTACTTCCATCCATCCATTTATTTTCTACCACTTATCTGGGTCTGGGTCCCAGAGGGCAACAATCTAAGTATAGTGAGTGGGGAGTAGAGTACTCCTATATAAATCCAGCCTACTTCCTTTTTCCCACTACTTCTCTATGCATTTGTTTGTCTAAATAAACTTTTGCCTCCTTCTGCTGTAGCCATTCAGGTCACTGAGAGTATTTTACATTGTTAAATAGTGTGCCATTCTGCCTTCAGCAACACTATAAGAGCATTCACAACCAATTCATCAACACAGCACTACCTCACGGCCTGTTGAGCATTTTATTTAGCTGCTGCTGGATGACTTACTGATCATCATGAGGCAAGTCTCGTCATTAAAGGAAGACCAGTTAGAGTTGACAAGTGCCTGCTTGAGCTCCTTTAGGTTGATGAAGCCACTGCGATCAGTGTCAACACTCTGGAACCACTGGTACGCCTCTGGGTTAACACCAGGAGGGATGTTACCTACACAAAGACAAAAAAATAAGTGCGGTAATGAGACAGAGAAGGAAAGAAATGCGTTCTGACTGACTTTAAAGATTCCCATGGCTTCAAATTTGTTTTCCAAGCTGTTTCCACTGCCGTTCATCTCTTTTTCACCAATCCGTCTCAACCACCTAGTATGATTTATTCTCTTTATTATTTCCCCTCCTCATATTTTCTACCAGTTATTATTTCACTAAACCTCTCAGGATTTTCAGGAGTAGTGAACAAGTGTGGGGGAAAAAAAGGAAAAGAAGAAGAAATATTCTTGGAAATGAAGCGACTACCGCACTCCAATGCCAAATAATCATTTATTTATCAGGAGATGAAGAAACGCTCTTCGGCTGTCTGACAGTTGAAACTGTGCTGAGTCTGTCAAGAAGAAAATTGATCATAAAAAATAATACATCTATGCTTGGCTCAGTCTTTTGGTGTTTAGAAGCACCAATTTAGAAAAGAGCAGTGT